CCTTCCTGCCCTTCAGCGCCGGCCCGCGCAACTGCATCGGTGAGGCACACGCGCAGTTCGTAGTCTTGTAACGAAACGTTAGGCAAATAGCTCTTTACTCTTGAAAATACTCGTGGTTACCTCTCACGTTTACACCCCTTCTTCACACTCATATTAGCACTCACATACACACTCATATTAGCTATACCAACGTCCACACCAAGCGTTTAAATCTCGAAATCGATTTTCCGCTCTTTGCTAACTCACTTCAAGTATGTCTAAGAGACAAACGACAAGTGTGCCTGTTACCAAATATTAGAGAAGCTTGAGTTCAAGCTACTGGTGAACAAATATTCATTGCTGTTGTTTGCAGGTCAGCGATTCGCCATGCTGGAGATGAAGAGCGTGCTTGCCAAGGTAATCTGGAATTTCGAGATGTTTGTGGAACCAGGATTTACAGCTCTTCCAGGTTGGAAAATCATCCTGAAATCTATTAATGGAGTACGAATTCGACTTGAAGATAGGCGTACAAAATATGTAAATACTGGTTGCTAAATTCTGTTGAGTATTATTTAATAAATGCGATGCGTGTTTCCACTCAATATCACTGTCAATGAAATATATGTAACAGTTTTTTTAGTTAACAACGTTCTCGCTTGAAATACGTATTAAAAATCTTTGTTTTCATTTAGTTCACTTTTGTACATTTATTTTATGCCCATTTTAATGTTTAAACGTATTTGAAATTACTACCTAATGTGGTTAAGAGATAAAAGCTCAGAAGGAAAATGTCATTGCTTTGCGATTTGCGATGTATAATGGAAACGGATTGCAATGCAGCCCAGCCTTACTTGTTGAACTTACATCTATACATCTTCTTGATTGTATTATTAAATAATATTTGAATAAAGATTGATTCATTTTCATATTGCTTTCTAGCATATTTTACTATTAATACATTATTTACTTTCTTCCACATATTTTCAGGTATGTTTTGGTAAGAAATGTGTTACGAAACAAACTCAATATTTTCGGTTAAGCTACATGTAATATTATATACATAGAAGAAAAAAATGATTTAAACATTTAGGGTATAAGAAAGTAATTGTTTACCTACTTGTGAATATATGCTAACCTATGTGAAAAGTGTTTTTTGTATTAGCCCATGTAATATATTTAATATATTTTAAGAAAATGCGCGTGTATATTCGAGAAAGCGTGTTTCATGATGCAAAGTTGGTATGCCCTACCATGTTATTTAAATCAAAATGTATGTATTCTCTTTTTAATACGTTGCTTAAAACATTCAAACCGACTCCGCCGCTTCACGGTCCATCATGCGGAGTCTAGTTGAATTTCTTCCCAACAAGCTTTGCCTGTGGCTTGCTCCGAACCGTCTGTTTGGCGTTCGCGCATGGCTTCTTGAAGTTGCGCCAGTTAGCGCTAATTACTTCAATTAATTGCTTATGCGCTTCAGTTTTATACAGTGTTTCCATCTCTACAACTCACATCACATGCACAGTATGCTGTGTGTGAGGATTCACAAGCTTATTGAAATGTGGCGTCATTTAAGTGTTAGTTCTAAATAACTATATATCTCACACTGGGTTTTACAACACTTGCATTATTTCAAATTGTGCATTATTATTATTATTATTATTATTATTATTATTATTATTATTATTTGAGTGCTTCAGCTGAATGCAACGATTTAAACAGTTCATCCTAGAGTACGCAATTATTTGTTATGCATGTGCCTGCAATCGCGACATACAAGAACTAGTTGTGACAGTGATTTGGGCCCAAATACTACATTCAGTACTGCTATCAGTGTATATAGTATGTGCGTGCCGACAGTCGTGTGTGTGGCGGTAAGTTGTAAAGCCATTTGTGCCAACTGTCACCCATGAATAATCGCCTCCCTGGTTCAGGGTACAATTTTCCTTGCACCGTGCAAGAGTTCTTGGCCGTTATCGTCAACGACATCTAGCATTGGCGCCTGAACTACAGCATTCATGCAACCTGCACTAGGTCGCCCCGTAGTGTGATCATGCTTCATCGCAGTTACGTCACATGTAATGCAACTTCATTTTATGTACTATTCATAACAAATCATCAAACGTCTAGAATTTCATATCTTCGCGTCCAATCAACAACATACTGCAATTGCTCAGTGAATCACTATCATTATTATATTATAAGAGACCTTTAATTAACTATTGTCAATAACTGTTAACTTCTTTGCGGTATACCTACTACGTTCCTTTTCTTTGTGACAGTATTTATCAGTCATATTTGTCTGTAATTCGTAATTAATGTTTAATTATGTCTTCAATTTATCATACACTTTTTGATTTCCCCGTTAATGGCAACACTCCCTGTGAATGCCCAATTTCAGGAAGAAGATTCAATGCTAACTTAAAGACATCTGGTCCTTCGAGAGGAA